TGTGTGACCTTGGAAAACCCTTTTTCCTTCCTGATCTTTGATTTCCCACGTTCAGGAAGGAAAAAATGATTTCGGTCACTAACAGTGAGCACCCATTCCTCATCTGTGCCCCTCCTAGGAGTCTAGATGGATGCTGTTTAAGTCCCTTGTTCTCAGGTTTCCATTCAACTCAGTATCTGATGGTTCTGAGTGATACTTGTTCAGTTTTATAATTGTAACCTTAGTGTGTCTGTGCGAAGGGGTGAGCTATGTCTGCCTACGCTGTTATCTTGACCAGAAGTGGAGAATTTAGAGTGAGACGCTAAAGGAAAAACACGTAACAGAAACCATGAGACTCTCAAATTCTTTGGAACTGGGAGGAAAAATAGAGATGGACTCTCCTTACTTGATAAAGTTGCTCTACCTGGAATTGTCTGAGCCAGAGGACATCAAGTGATGTGTGGCCCTACGATATTACGATAAATCCTTGAGGTCATTCCCAGAGCAGTGACAAGCCTCTGTGAAGCTTCAAGAGTATCACCCACACACTCAACACACCCTGTCAACTGAAAGCTGGTGGACATCTAGAGTAATATGATGGCCATCAACAGCAATCTGGCCACACTGATGAGCTGCATCCATCCCCTGTATTCCTGGGATATTGCAATCCAGAGTCAGGTCTGACTTCTCCTGACAATGAGTGGGAGGGCCATGGAATCCTACTGGATGAAGGTTAATTTCTTCAACGTGCCCTGCAACCTGGCCATGGAGTCAAACTACATCAGCCAAAGCTTCTCTGAGACCTAGGGGAGCCTCTGAAACAGCTGAGATAATTACTAAATGATTATTGAAGAAATGAAACATGAGGTCATGGCTTTCCTTTACCTCTTCTAAATTTCTAGGTTCACATCTTGCCGTATCTTTCTCACCTATTTTTCTTCAAGTTCTCCCGAATGAAAAGGACCCATGCTCTGTAGAAACAAGATATTCCGGGTAGCCACGTTTCCAGAAGAGAAGTAGCTCAAATTAGTTCTATCACTCTGAGAACTAAGTGTCCTTTATGTACTACCAATTAGGGCTTCCCTGTTCTCGGGCTTCACAGAACATTTTCTCATATGGCTATTTAAGTAATGCTCATTGTATAGCTCCATTCACCAACATCGATACCTTTCTGTAGTTGGCTCACTCCATAACCCCTTTACAGAAGTAATTGCCAGTCCCCATGTACAAAACTACCACTGCATTTACAAATGAAATGATCATTTCTCAAAAAGGTGGAGAAATGCAAGAATCCAAAACATGCTTCTCATGTTCACATGCACACTTTCCAAACCTTCATGGATGGCAATATCACAGCCACTCTGGTTCAAAAATACACATATTGAATATAACCACTGTTTCTAGATACATGTTAATATTCACAGAGGTTAAAGATACATCTTATCTCAGAAAACTCAGTGAGAAATTTCATGTACAAAAACAATTATTTTTGGCCCTGGCTGGTGTGGTTGTGCGGATAGGAAGCCAGCATGTGAACTGAAAGATCACCGGTTCAATTCCCAGTCAGGGAACATGCATGGGCTACGGGCCATGTTCCCAGTGGTAAGGGTGTGAGGCAATTGATAGATGTTTCTCACACACATGGATGTCTCCCTTCTTTCCCCTCCCTCAGATGAAAATGGAAAAATCATTAACATTTAGAATGGCTATAAAGATACAGTACTAATCCAAGACATCATACTGACCACAGCGAAGAGGAATCGACACGGGGAAATGAGATTTTCAGACTGTCCACACGTCACCTTGTTCCTTTAAATGGACTGTTGTTTAGTAAAATGACGTGGAAGCAGATTGCAAATATCACCGAGGATGCTCTGGACTCACCCTCTTCTCTCAAAAAACCCATGAGCCATAATTCTGATAATTGGGCCATGGAGACATTGATTCGACCTAATAAGGCCCATTTCCTTGTCTGGAGCAATGAGGACTAAGAATCTCAGTTATGATCAGACTGTACTGGGCCCTATAGCAAGGGTTTCTATGCAGAACTATGTTCCTACCAAAGCTCTCTCGTGCATACACAGGGACAACGGAAAGGAGGATGTGGTTGCTGAACATAGTCAGGGCTGCAGGGAATACATGGTGAGCACCACGGTCTCCTCCGGCCAGTTCCGGAGAGTACTGGATCAAGTGGGCACTGAGTTTCATGTATGAAGAAGAGATGGACTCTCCACCAAGGAAGTTAACAATACCGTATGTCTCCAGCACCATTTCTGAATTATGTCCCAAGTATCGTATACACCTGACCTCGATACTGCAGAATGCACGTCACTGAAATGTACCAAAAAGATTTGACAGGTCACACTGAGGCATGACATTCACCACAGTGGATAAAATCAAAGCCTGTCATGCTAAATGTAAGTGAATGTGCACAAAGACTCAGCCATGAATCACCAGGGGCACCGCAGTGCCTAGCTGTCTGCTAAACTTCAAAAGGATGTAGATAAAATGCAGCTAAGACTCACTTCCCTGGAGAAAGAAGATATTAGGGTAGCCACCTTTCCCATAGGGATAGTGAACTGGATCTGACAAGAGTGTTCCCGTAGACTGTGAAGCAAATGCTAAGCATTCTAAGGTATCAGAAAAATGCAGACATTTCATTATAATTGCAACACTGAAATCAGGAGCAACACCTGCGTTTCCCGATTCCTTGGTCTTTACCGTCATCCTGCCCTGTGATGAGGCCTTAATATGCCACAATAGAGATGCCCCCAGCTCTGGAGCCGCACTGACTTTGAATCTTGCCTCTTCAATGTGACATGCCTGCTGTGTGACCTTGGAAAACCCTTTTTCCTTCCTGATCTTTGATTTCCCAAGTTCACGAAGGAAAAAATGATTTGGGTCACTAACACCGACTGACCCACTGCTGCAGATGAATTATGAAAATAATTATCGTCAGAAAGAAAATCCTGGAATAATTTTACCAGTAAGTGTTTACTGAATTTTGTTACCTCTGTTGATCCTCATGAGGGCCACGGTTAGTCCATTGGTTAATTTCCTATCATTCAGTGAAGTCAGTTGTGGGGAGTTTCATTGCGACCCAGAGATGCCCATGTAGAGAATCCATATAGATACCTAGGAGCCCTGAGGCCACCTCCTCCATGTGGTAGAGTCTGTGTGGACTGCAGTAGATACAGGAGATCTGCGAAGCTCCATTTCTTTTTCGCAGGAACTCGGGGCAGACGGTGACAGGGGGCTTTGGCTTGTGGTTCGACCCCAAAGTAGATAACTAAGCATAAGGCAATTACTTTTTCAGCAAGCACCAAGGCGGGGGGATCAGGGCCGATCTTTACCACTAGCACAAGGGAGAGTGCTGAGGCCCATAAAGAGCATCCATTCCCTGCAAGCACACTGAGGGTCACCAATCTAAGCTTTAAACCCAGGTTGCATGGCCCAAGGTATGGGGGCTCTAATCACTTCTCTCTTCTCTTGGGCTTCTGGGAGTTCTTTGTTCATCCTCATACCACCAGTTTCACCTTCATGTCCTCTTTCAGCCCAGCACACCCCAGATGTTAGACCATAAAAATGGGTGAACGCTAAAATGCAAGGCTTTTTATACTATTACTAACTCTCTCAACTTACAAAAGTGAAGGAGTGTTAATAATGCAGATTATTCCTTAAAGTATATCATGTGTGCCTACCACGTTTTGTACAGCAAAAAATCTGAAAAATTAGGAAATATTTTTCACCCTTAGAAACAATTATTCTAAAATAACCACCCACAATTTCCCATAAAGTGAAAATTACTTGTTATTCAAGGAGTGAAAGTAGGTGACATTGCAACACATATTTTTGCTGTTTTATGTGACAGGAGAGTAGCTGAAATTAACAAAAGAGGTAAATTTTGTGAGCACACGATATACTAAAAACCTTTCAGTGGTACATATACACCTGCAAAATGCTCACTATAAATCCTTAGGGAAAGGTAAACAAAACAACAGAGAAAGCATGATGAACATGTAAGAAGGGCTAGAACTCATACATATAAAACACTCATGATTTTGTTAAATGGGGAGAAACATCCCCATACACTATGAGTAAGAATGCATAAAGTCACAATTAGTTTTGGTTGCACATTGTCAGGTTCTTCCAAATTTACACGTTAAATTCAGAGACACTTCCACACTGTGAACATACAGAATTAAATTCAGAGGTTTCCTTACAAAGTTTTCTTCAGTGTCAGTGCACTGGGCAAAAAATACATTTCCCAAAATATAACAATTTATGCAGTCTGAACACTCCAGTGAGGGTACAAACTTATGGCTAGAGATTCCCATATTCACTTCACACTCGAAGGCTCTAACCTGTTTGATCTGTGATTAAGGTGACTAGGACTCTGAGATAAAACATGGTTTAAATTAAATGTCCACATAAGCCCTACCTCCCATGTAAACTCTTGGGTGGTAAGTGAAAAGAAAGAAAAAGAATTTCCCACATTCCCTGTACTCAAAAGGCTTTTTCCCAAGAGTGAAATCTCTGAATAACGGAGCTCAGCGATATTAAGAAAACAATCTCTCATATTGCGTTATATATAAAAACACATTGCCTCTGTGAACTCTCAAAATATAACAAAGCGAATGGCTAGAAATAAAAGATTTCCCAAATTTCCTTAACTTATAAAAACTTAGTCATTGTGTATTCTCTGGTGAAAGAAAAATCATGGCTACTGGTAAAAGATTTACCATATCACAGCACTCAAAAGGCATTTCTACATTGTAAAAACTCACAATAACGTAAGTTACTGACAGAAGAAAAAGACTTCACTCATTCACTGCAGCCGTAACACCATTCTTCTGTGTGAACTAGCTGATGACACTGAAGGTGAATGCTGCAGATTAAAACATTTCTCACAGCCACTGCACTCATAAGGCCTTTCTTTTGTGTGAACTAGTTTATGCTAACCTGGGGCACAGCTAACGCACATCCTACATTCAGAGCACTCATAAAGCCTCTCTCTTTTGTGAAATAAGAGAATATCAGCAGTTACTGGTAAGATTCCTGAACTCCAGTGCACTCAAAAAGCCTCCATCCAGTGTGAACACTGCCATGATGACAAATGGAGGGCTACTCATGTTTTTCCACATTAACTGCACTCATACGATTTTTCTCCAGAATGAACTCTATAGTGTTGAATAAGGGAGGAGCTTTGTCTAAAACATTTCTTACATTCACTGCACTCATAAGGTCTTTCTCCAGTGTGAACTCGCTGATGACAACGAAAACCATTCCTACTGGAAAACGATTTCCCACATTCACTGCACTCATAAGGCTTTTCACCAGTGTGAACTCTGTGATGAATACGAAGAACAGAGTTACTCGTAAAACATTTCCCACATACACCACACTCATAAGGCCTTTCTCCCGTGTGAACTCTCAGGTGACACCGGAGGTCAGTGCTATAGGCAAAACATTTCCCACATTCCCCACACTCGTAAGGTCTTTTCCCAGTGTGAATTCTACAATGCTTACGAAGGGCAGAGCTCATGGTAAAAGACTTCCCGCATTCACTGCACTGAAAAGGCCTTTCGCCAGTGTGAAGTTTCTGGTGAGAATTAAAGTTTTCTTTCCTCTTAAAAGATTTCCCACATTCACTGCACTCATAAGGCTTTTCTCCGGCGTGAACTCTCTGATGACAAATAAGGTAAGAGCTACAGGTAAAAGACTTCCCACATGTGGTGCACTCATAAGGTTTTTCTCCAGTATGAACTCGCCGATGACAAATAAGGTACGAACTGCAGGTAAAAGATTTCCCACATTCCGTACACTTATACGGCCTTTCTCCAGTGTGAACTCTCTGATGACAATTAAAGTGATACTTCCTTCTAAAAGATTTCCCACAATCACCACACTCATAGGGCTTTTCTGTAGTGTGAACTTGCTGATGATCGCGGAGGGCAGAGCTCCTGATAAAAGACTTCCCACATTCCCTACACTCATAAGGCCTTTCTCCAGTGTGAACTCTCCGATGACAATTAAAGTAATATATCCTCCTGAAAGATTTCCCACAGTCACCGCACTCAAATGGCTTTTCTCCAGTGTGAACTCTCTGATGATCATGGAGGGAGGCGCTACTTACAAAAGATTTCCCACATTCCCTACACTCATAAGGCCTTTCTCCAGTGTGAACTCTCAGATGGTCATGGAGAGCAGAGCTGCTCGTGAAAGATTTCCCACATTCTTGGCACTCATAGGGCTTTTCCCCAGTGTGAACTCGCTGATGGTAACGGAAAGCAGAGCTACTGGTAAAATGTTTCCCACATTCACTGCACTCATAAGGCCTTTCTCCAGTGTGAACTCGCTGATGGTAACGGAGGGCAGAGCTACTGGTAAAAGATTTCCCACATTCACTGCACTCATAAGGCCTTTCTCCAGTGTGAACTCGCTGATGATAACAAAGGGCAGAGCTACTTGCAAAAAACTTTCCACATTCATTGCACTTATAAGGCCTCTCCCCAGTGTGCACTCTCTGGTGACATTTAAAGTCGTATTTCCTCTTAAAAGACTTCCCGCATTCACCACACTCATAACACTTTTCTCCAATGAGACGTCTCTGACTGTCAAGGAGGGCAGAGCTACTGGTAAAAGATTTCCCATATTCCACAAACTCATAAGGCTTTTCTCCAGTCAAAACGCTGTTAGGAACACAGAGGGCCAAATTATCGGTACAAGATTTTCCACATTCACTACACACACAACACGGTCCTCCTGTACAGAAATCATGGTCCTCGACAAGTGTGTCATCACAGCCAGTGGCTTTCTTGCATTCTCTGGGGTTGTAATAATGTTGTTTCCTTTCAAAAGTCATTCCAGACTCGGAGAGTTCCTTTGACCCGTGCATGGTGTGAGTAGCCGGTTTCTCAAGATGTCCTGAGCTGATGAGCAAGCACTTCCCAACCTGACTAGAGGTGCAAGACTTCTGTGACACATGGGAATTGCAGCTCCTTGCAACTGAGACCATGTCCGCACTGCTCATGAAACCATTCTCTGCCGTGTCCTGCTCCTGGTGCTGGTGGCTCCTTGCAATGAAATAAAATGGTTTTGCACATGCCCCACACCTCAGCAGTGTGCGCCTCTTTTGCGCTTCCTGCTCGTCAACCAAGAGGAAAATGTCTCTCAAGACACGGCCACAACTCTCACAGGGATGGCTCTTCTGGGAGGTCAGAGCTGCCTTGGGATTCTTAGCCTGCGAGACTCTTACAGGTAAGTTTTGTTCACTGGGAGCCTCCACATCCTCTGCTCCACAGCAGCAACCTGAACAAAAAGAAATGCTGGTCAAGTACATAATGGCATAGAGGGAGGGGCTTTTCTCACCACTAATTTCCACCTGTCACATCAAGGAAGGATTGCATGCAATAATTTTCAAGACAAGGGAGACAGACTCTGAAAAGTGGTGGTTGTGCAGTACCAGACCAGTAAGGTCAGTAAATAATGGGCACCGCATTAAACGAAGCACACTAGGATACGACGGGACACAAGGAAGAGAGCCAGGGTTTAGAAGTTGTCTCACTCCGATGGCTGCCTGCAAAAACCTTCCTGCTGGTCAAGTCAAGCTGTGCAGAGGAACGTGTAAGTGCCACAAACCATGAAAATCACCCGCAGCAGAGCAGATGCTGTGCAAGGTTCACACAGAAACATTCGCACACTTCGAGGAGCAACAGGCATTCACCAAGGGTGGAGAGCACCAAAAAACTCCTCAGGGGAACAGCTGTCACGTAGCAGATACAGTGGCAGATACTAGTCCTGGCTGGAAGTCAGAGTAGAAATGATAACGAGGTGAACTAACAGGCGATGTGCCAACACTGGGAAAGGACAGGGAAATTAAGCTGTAGCCAGTGGCAATGGTGACAAAATACAGTTAAACAGAACAGGGTCTTCATCATGATTTAACAAAGCCCTGACATCAATCCCTTGTCAAGGACCGTTCACCAATACCAGACGCTATGAGCCCATCCTTGTATGACGGCTAGACTCATGTCCCTCTTCTGATACACAAGGGACGTTTCCACTTCCCTCCCACTTGAGCAATTGCATGCGATACCGACGATGCAACTCCTGAGGCAAAACTGAAGAGATGAAGAACCAGCACTGTCACAGAACAATTCAGCCCGAAGGACCAAAGGGAAAAGATCTATGTGAGTGACGACAGAAGTTTCGCACAATGAAAAATACAAATATTCGACCCACTTTGACAAGAATTAGACAGTTATCCACGATAACACGCACCCTTTGAGGAAAGGGGGAAATGCTTAGGAGACCGTGAGTGGAGAATTATACAAAGAACTGCACGGAAAGGACCGTAAAGGAAAACTGCCTTACCAAAGACTGTTGGGTTAAAAAGACAAGAAGGAGTGAGATCTTCATCTCATAGCTAGTGTGCATGTGCTACCATGGATTTTAATGGCCTGTTCCGTGAATGACGATGGCAACCGTTGTCGCTGAGAACCTCGGGCTTCCCTGTAATACCGGCATGCTGCCCACAAATTTCTCCTCAAAGGGACCTGTAGAGTTTGTGAGCATGGATATCAAGAGGAATCCCTTTGGCCACAACAATAACATCAGTATGTCCCTGGAAGCCTTTCTTCCCCGAGACTCCAAAAAAGGATAGCTACAGATGCGGAAAACCGCTGCCCTGGCCACTGAGGGCCCCTGCTATTTTACCTACTTGGACCTCAGCTGAAGGGGCAGGAAGAATGGTAACTGAAACTTGTCTTCAGCTCAAAACACAACACAGTCCCTACCAAGCACTCTTGTATCCACATGCAGATAAAACTGCTTTTTGTCCTGGTTGGTGTGGATCAGTAGGTTAGGAGTTGAATCCCACCCAGGCACATGCCTGCGTTGCAGGCCCAGTACCCAGCAGGGAGCATACAAGATGCAATCAATCAATGATTCTCTCGCACATCAATGTTTCTCTCCCTTCCTCTCTCCCCCATGCCCCTGTCTCTAATAATTAGTGAAACATCTTTTTGAAATAAAAGTGTATGGACACATATAGGTTGAAAAATAAAGAGATATAAAAAACATTCCATACAAATAATAGCAAAGGGAGGAAAAGTAGCTAAAATTCTATCAGACATCCTCAATCACTGTCACAAAGAAAAAGGACATCTGACGATGATGAAGGGGTCAACTCACAAGGAAAACAACTTTAATTCCATTGACACCAAGCTGTGCTTTTCCCTCATATTCATGTTTCTCCCTCTCTTCTCAATCCCTTCTACTTGCTCTAAGAATCAATAAATGTACACACGGGTAAATATTTAAAACATTTATGTAGGAATTATAAACAAGAACATAAAATGCTATTCCTCACTAATCAGTGAGCAATCCACTAGGCTTCTGCAAACACTATTGACCTCAAACCCATCCCTGCAAGGGTTCAGTACGGGAGGTGTTGGGGCTGCAGGGAGAGATGAGCCATGGAAACAATACATGTCTTGCAAGGCACAAGGTCTACAAAGAAAACGGGGAGAACAAACACTGTACAGAGTGCTCATGTGAGGACACAACAACCACTGACGAGTGAAGGGCCCGGGGAAGATGCAGAATCTACTCGAGGTCACTGGTCAGTGTGAGGTTTTGGGTTTTTTTTTTCCCTTTGGAAAGTGAGAGTTAGTTTATTATGACTGGTGAAATGAAGCAAAGAGAAGGATCCCTGGAGACAGGATCAGGGGTCACCCAAGACCACCTACTGCTGTCCACTGATCCCCGGGTACCGTCTGGTCAAGAACCTTACACCTTCAGATAGAAGGGACTGCAACCCTCAGCAAAGGGGGGCGCAGTCCTGCCGAACACAAGTGTGCAGGGAAAGGGAGTGTCTTACCCAGGGAAGATATGAGAGCAAAGTTCTCCAGCATCACATCGAGATACAGGCATCTCTGAACCTCATCGAGGAGGAGCCATTCTGTCGTGGAGAAATACACGGCGACATCCTCAAAGGTCACAGCAACCTGTAAGAATTAATACAAATGAATCCGGAACAGTCTGCGATGCCGGAGTCCTATGTTCCCCCACACCCAACCCCTTGCAGGGCCCCCAGTTCAGAGAAGAAACAAGCTCTTAATGCTGCCGCAGCACAGTCTCATTAATCACTCACATTGCCCTCACCAATGGCAGCCAGGATAAGAGGAAGTGCAGCAGAGAAATACCATCTAAACTTGCGGCCAATCCTGCAGGGCCCCATTCTTCCTGCTAAGCAATTCCAGTAAGTCTCCCAGAGCATGCCTCCAAAACAGAGCCAAACATGGTCTTAGGCTTCACCGGTAGATCCCAACACCAAGTACCCGTGACCATCAGCTCACACTTCCTCTAGCTCTGCACACCACTGGGTGATCTCTACCACCTTCATAGCTTCACACCAAGGTGCACTCCCTCAGCTCTGTCACCTTCATTCTCATGCACAAAAGAGCCTCCACTTTTGCTTGAGTCCATCCTCAACCCTTCCCCAGACTTCCAGGCTCCTGTATTCAGCAGCTCACTGGCAGTTGCCACTCACTGCTCATTGAAACTTTTAAAAATGTTAATCAGAAGAACATTCTGATATTCCTAAAGAGAATTAACCTACCTATGAAAATCTTCCCCAGCCCAGCAGAATGGAGCCTGCACCATTTCAGCTACTAGGACCAAAATAGCTGGTGTTGTTTGTGAACACTTTCCTTTCTCTCCTGCAGCTGCATAATCTGAAACTCTACTTGCCCTTCTTAAAAAATAGAAGACAGTGTGGCTCAGAGGATTCAGCGCAGGTCTGTGAACCGAAGGGTTGCAGGTTGGGTACCTGGTCAGGACACAAGCCTGGGTTGAGAGCCAGGCACCGGTAGGGGGCACTCAAGAGGCAACCCCATGTTGATGTTTCTCTCCCAATCCTTCACCCTCCTTCCCCTCTCTAAAAATAAATAGATAAAATCTTCTAAAAAAAAAGGAGGGGGGAAAGTGGAGAAGTGTATAAAGGGAATAAAAGGAAGTGGAAAAATTGGATATAAAAAATGAAACATCAAGCCAACCTTTTCTCCTACCTTTGAAGCCCAAGTCTGGGCTCCCTTCCTCTGTTCTTAACTTCCATAACCAGTGTTGCACTATGAAGCCAGATTGAGCCCAGGAGAGAGCAACTCCTTCCTCTTATGCAAATGACCCATTATCTCCAAGCAGATTCCCAAATTATCTTTTGGCCCCATCACAGGTCTGATTATCGAACCCCACCCTCACATGCTCCTTTTTATCCCACCTAAGAAGAGAAGACTGATGTACCTATTCCTATTCCCAGCTCAGTGGACTCTCCAACCATTTGGATGGGCAGGTGTCTCTCCTGGGATACCCTTCCATAAACTGCTTACACTGGATGCCATTGTGCACCGAAAAATAGGGGTGGAAATTGGGGGAGCATGGGGTGGGGTGGGGGTGCAGTTGACTTGCCTACTCAGACCAGCTTAGGGAGTCCTCCATGATGGCCTTAAAAACTAGGAAACTGAAAATACCCCTACATATGGCCTCAAATTAAAACTTTTTAACTAAAAGCGAGTCACAGCAAGGAGACATGTCCTAGGCCTGTTATCTTTCTGAGGAAGGTCAATTTTTACCTTAAATAAGCCCGTCTTTATACCTTTGCACCTATGTTAACATACTTTTGGAATATCAGGGTGATTTTTTTTTTACCTCTCAGAGCACAATCACTGCATCACAGCACAGACCAAAAAACGTCCCCATTGTTCTTATTGTTTTGTTAATGAAATATTAACTATCCTATAGCCGCCAAGAAAAAGAAGTGTCTCATCATGTGTACTTTGTATCTAATATCAGGATTTTCCTTCTTTATTTTCTCCTGACTCTGAAACCTATCACCAATGGATTTCAAGTTCCCCACTCATCAGAATTTTGATTCTGATGTAGAAAACCAGTGGGAGAACTCTCATCTTATGAAGCATCTTGTCACCCAGTTGACTTTTTGTTTTCAGTCAATTGTCATCAGTTTGGTTCAAATAACGTTAAAGATGTCTCAACAGGTTTGAATGTTTCTTCCTTTAACACCAGAAAGGGGGGAACCTTGCTATTCCCTGGGACCTGCAGTCCCCACTTCCAAGAGCGGGGTGAGGGGGGAAAAGGAAGTCTTTAGAAACTATAAGGCAGTGTCATCACCAGGGAGAGACTGCGACACCGTGTCCTTGTCTAGTTGCCAAAATGGTGTTCAACTTCAGAACCTGTGGGAAGACGCCATCGATCACACTAGAGCTCCTGGTAAGCAGGTCTCAGCTGTATCTCAGCGCAGCCCTTGGAGCCTGGTCACCTCTGGACAAGTGTCTCCTTACTGCAGCCTCTCACCGGCCCTGCAACTTTGAACAACCGCCTCTTTTCCTGGGCCTCCCTGCCCCCATCGCCCCGCTCCAGGCGGTTTTTTATCTCAGCAGCATCTGAAAGGCTTTCAAAACCAAGAGAAGCCTTTGTTCTCTCTCGGCCCACAACCCTCCCGGGCTGCCAGGACCAGCAGAACGAGGGCGCAGCCCCTCCGCCTCAGGAAGTGACTCCACTTCAGAGAGTTTAAAGCACGTGGAAGGCCGCCCCCAGCTTGCGGGTCCTGCAGGGTCAGCACCATCGGCCATCGGTACCCAGCGGGCCCTCAGCCCGTCACCCTCTCCCACCCCCACTGGATCGTGTGTCACCCACGAGCGCCTCACGGCCCGAAAGCCGGCGCCGGGGCTGCGGGACGTCACGGGCCCCCCGCCCCCGCACCTCAGGGCGCAGCGGGCTGAGCCGAGGAGGCCCGGGGCCGCGCACTCACCTCAGCCGGGCGCCTCGGGACAGCCGCCCCCGCGCTCCGTGGGCGGAGCGGGGCGCCGGGCACTCCGGGCCCCATCCCCGACCCGGAGCCTCACAATCGCGTCTGTGACGCGGCGACCGGGTCTTTCCGACTTCTCGTCACCGCATGGCCGCCCAGGGAGGCCCAGCGCTCAGCGATTCCGACCGCTGCAGTCCCGACTGTAGACAAAAATGCCCGCCAGCTGGGCGACGGAAGTCCCGCCCCTGCGCGTTTTGCCCAACGGAAAAGCCTTTTCTCAGCCTTCATTGGCTCGGCCCTCCCACAGCCTTCTGGGTAATGTGGTTCCTAGAGTCCACGGAGGTGAAAAGGGTTTTTCCCTCCTCATTCCAAGGGACGGCACCGAGAGTCACCGGGATGGGTACCGGGAAATGACGCGTCCTGGTCCAAAAGAGTTCTCGAACATGGTAAAAGATGTCATGTTTCTGGGGACGGTCTCGTGTGCCTGACGATGAACATGCGCTAACTCGGCATCTCCACGCAGCCCGTCACAGAAATGAAAGGAGGTTGTCCTGCATTACAGGGTCTGGAAAATTTTGTCAGACAAATCACCTACGAACACCATCACATATATGACAAATGTAAGACAAGACTGTAAGGCAATCCTTTCAAGTGAAGAAAACGAACATAAAAACCCTAAAATTTAAATAGATGTCACCCTGGCTGGTGTGACTCAGTGGATTGACTGCCGCCCGTGAACTGAGCGGTCACGGGTTCCATCCCAGTCAGGACACAAACCGGCGTAAGCCGGCCAGGTCCCCCGGTAGGGGGCGCGTGAGAAGCGACCGCACATTGATGCTTCTCTCCCTCCTTTTCTGCCTCCCTCCTCCTCTCTCAAAAATAAATACATAAACTCTCTTAGAAAATGAATAGAAGTCAGATGTTTCTTAGAAATAAATCATCCATTATGAAAAATAAATTTTTGAAAATACGGGAGAATTGAATTCTTACAATGTTATTGATGTTTTTCTTCAAAATGATATTGTGACTACTCTAACAAAAGAAATTTTGGACTCCCCAGACATAGTTAAGATCAGAGGCCACATAATATCTCTTCCATTCCAAAGGATAAGATAAAGGACATAGTTGTAAATTATATTGAGAGTAAATAAAGAACATATTCATAGTGAAAGTTAACCTATGTATACCTCACAAACTAGAAAAGAGCACACAGTATTGGAATTAACAAAAATGTGGGGGGTGCATTTATGCCATAAATAGAGCAAATCAGTAAATCTATAGGAAGCCTGTGTTATTTAAAACAGTAGAGCAAATATCACAGTAAAATAGAAAGCAAAACTTGAAAAATGTTAAAACTAAGTAGCATAAGAGTTAAAACAATTTAAAATCCTACCAGATAGTATTTAAAAATCACTTCTAAAGAATGAGAAATACAGTATTTGCAGCACCCTGCTACCTGGATGCCACTGGTCATAGAAATCATCTGACGCCCTATCCAAATTACCAGGATGGGAAAATTGTATGGCAGTTTTCTTGTCCATGGAACACCAACCGATTTAATCAAATCCTTCTCTTTTTCTGTGATTGCTCTTAAAAATCTTGAGGATCCACGTAATTGTCATTTTGGTGTGCTGTTTTCACACTGCAACAGCACCTATCCCTTTAAAATGTACTGTAATACGAAATATTTTCTCTTTGACATCTTGGATAACCTTCAACAAATGCTTTGAGGAAACCAGGCTGTAAACACCTTTGTTTACCCACAGATATATGTAACACAGACCTAGAAGAGCCTCTGAAACAGTTACAATAATTAGTAAATGATTGTTGAGGAAGTGAAACTTGATGCCATGTCTTTCCTCATGCTCTTCTAAATTTTCCTGCTTATAACAATCTTGTCACCTATTTTTACCTCGGGTTCTCATGAACGAAATGGACTCACAGTTAGTCGAAAGAACAATTTCATGGTAGCCAAGTTTCCAGCAGAGT